AAATTACAATAACCACCGAGAGGTTGGGACTATGTTCTTTTGGCCACATTTCTCACTGTTAGGCGATCTGGGTTGAGTGCTTTGAAAAACCAGGTGAGCAACACTCAGATATCTTCCTACCTCCCTTCCCCGACCTCCTAATTTTTTTTTTTCTTATGTGCCACAAACGCATTTCCCCGGAGGGCTGCTTGTTTGCTTCTTAAAAATTCTTCCTTTGACTTGATCCAATGGGAGTCCACACTGACCACCTGGTGTTTGGCCAGGCTAATGCGGAGAGGTATTCCAGAATTTAGGGATTCTCAAATCCCACGTGGTGGGTCCCTTGGGAGTAACAAGGGCTTGCTCTCATTTCTGTTGATCCTGTTCTTAGTAGGATAAGCTCCTTTGGGAGGCATCAGGCTTGAAGATGTCAGCCTCTTGATTAGTTTGGCTTGAGGGAGGATCAGGGGACATTTCACAAAGGCTGGTTGCAAAAGAACGCGCAGGAAGGCAGCCAGGAGCTGACATCAGCGGGCGGCCCCGGGCCAGCACCATGAACGCTCCGGGCTGCTTTGGCCAGGCCACCCAGAGTGTGGTCGGTCCACAGACAGGGGGCCGGCTCCTCCTTTGCCCAAGGCTGTCTCAGTTTTCAAAAACATTATTTGAATTTAAAATGTCTTTATTCAATGTATTTGATGTGCTTCACAAAAGAGAGAAGTGTATTTCCCATCACTTGTGAACAAAGTCAGTCATCACCCTTGCACTGCAATGAGTTGATTTTTGTTCACATCTTTCTCACACATTGCATGAGCGGTATAGCTGGGTTATTACGGCTTCCTGATAATGGATCAAGTTTACACTGGGAAAGGTACATTTTGAAGGAGAAATCTGAAACATAAAACCCATTTTTTTTCATATCCCTAAGACGGAAGTAGCTACTTACATTGGCATGATAACTTTCTATTTCCTTAAGAGTCTTTCCATGAGCTCGGAGCCCGCTCTGTCCTGGACAGAGCAGGAAGGTTGGTCACCACCGTCCTCAGGCTGAGCGGGAGCTCATGAGAAACTCACAGCTGTCCTGTTCGTGCTGGGGCTGCAGGTTGCATCTTCCCAGAGATTTAAACCAACTCATTTTCTCCACCCCACCTTTTCCAAATTCAGTTGGCAAAATTTCTTTGAAAGAAGCAATAGAGTATCTTAACCATGTTTTGTTATCATTTTAGTGAAGTTCAAGATCAGAATTCTTGGTTGGAAAGTCTCCACTCCTTGGAACATGTGATATGGGCACCTTTGTCATGGGGAATGTAACAAGTCATTTATTTTCATCAGAAAGTGATTTTTCACACAGCCAAAAAACATGGAAAGTAGAGACAAGTAAAAATTCACATATAATTTTATCGCCATAGTAAACTGCATTTTCATGTATGTTCTCCAATCATTTTTTTCTTAGGACTAATTTTTATAAATAATTGCAATTCGAGTACATAAACAATTTTGGTAAACTCTTTTTCACTTACTATTATGTTGTAACTATTTTTTCACGTTGCACAACAGTTTTCATATGCAAATTATTTCATGAACTACATGAAAAACACAGTTTGAATTAGATGTGGAAATTAAAATAAACACTTATTAACTGAATTAGCATACAGCAGACCATGATGAAGTCCTGAACACTGTCATTTTAGAAATCTATTGATATGGGAAGATACTTAGATTTTTTTAAGTGGAAATAAGTAAGTTACAAAATAATTATTTCTAGCTGGTGGTTATTTTTTCTGTTTCCCTTTTTTTTTAACCTTCTGTAATGAGCATGTAATAATGGGATAATTATTTTGCAATCAAAAGAAAAACATAAGAAAAACTTTACAGGGAAATAATACTGAGTAGAGATTTGATGCTAAATACCATCCCTCAAAAATGCTATTGAAGTCACTTCTGAGATTGAAATTAAGAACCCAAGTATCGTGGAGGAAACACGCTATCTGTAGAAAGGAAACACAGTGGGCCTTTGCTTGTGTGGATGGGAAGTTTTCAGGAATGCCCAGTGTACAGGTGAGGTCACCTGGGCCACAGCGGAAGGACAACAGTCCTAACAGGGAGTTCAAGGGCAGCGCCCTCTGACTAGGTGCCTCAGGGCCTCCTTGAGGCGCACTTACCTGATCTGAGACCAGGGGTTTGGCTGGTGTCAGGATGTACCTTTGTAATGGAAATCGATGCATCTGCCCAGAGGCTACCGGTCAACAGCATCCTGTGGGTAAGTCACTTAGCAGTGAGTCTAGGCTCAACTAGAAAGTTTTTCGTGTGGTTTGATTTTCCACGTAGGTTTGCTCAGAACCCAGAAGTGCCTGGTACCTGGCAGGCCTGGCACTGGGTACTCTGGGTACCAGGGTGAGTATAGTCGCTATGTTTTCCTTATCTGCTCCTAGCGGGACAGAGATAAGTAAATACGTGATTAAAATTTTACACATAAATGCTATTGTGATATATACAAATTATAATAAATATAAATGAATATCAGAAATACATATTTGGTTCTTGGCACCCAGCTCTCCTAAAACTTTTGGAATCTCTGCAGTGAAGATTGTCTTTTGAATGTTAATGAGATGACTGGTTGGGGGCCCCTAGATAGCTTCAGGATGGAGCCTGCTTGACAGGAAAACCAACTCCCGATTTTCAGCCCCAACCATGACCTGGAAGGAGAGGAGAGGGCTGGAGATTAAGCCGATTACTAATGGCCAGTGATATAATCAACCATGCCTACTTAATGAAACCTCCATAAAATCCTCTCAACAGCTGGGTTCAGAGAGCTCCCCAGTCGGCGATCCCATGAAGGCATTGAGAGGTGCTATACGTGGGGGTGGGGGTGGGGCAGCGCACGGAACTCTCCACAATCCCCTTCCCATCCCTGCCCTACACACCTTCCATTTGGCTGTCCTTGAGTTGGAATTCTTTATAACAAACCTGTAGTAGTAAGTAAAGCACTTTCTTGAGCTCTGTGAGCCATTCTAGTGAATTACTGAACCTGAGGAGGGGCTCATGGGATCCGCCGATTTACACAGCCAGTTGTGCAACGTGGGCCTTGTGACTGGTGTCTGAAGTGGGGGCAGTCTTGTGAAACGGAGCCCTTAACCTGCGGAGTCTTACACTCTCTCTGCGTGGTTAGTGTCAGAATTGAACTGACTCGAAGGACACCCATGCGGTGACGGGAGAATTGGAGAATTTGTTGGTATTGGGGATGTACCATGCAGCTGCCATGTGGGAAGTGGCCCAGCTCTGGGAACATCCATGGGGGGGTCCTTATGCGGACCAGGACGGTTGGAGAAGGGTTTTTGGAGTTGATTAAATAGAGACCCAAGGTTGGCCAGTCAAAGGCGGGAGGAGAGGGTTGTAAAGAAATGATTCCAGACAGATGGAAAATCACATGTGAAGACAGGAGGTGAGGTATTATTGTAAAAGCAAGTTGTAAATTGTCATTCTAGGTTTCATACCTGGTTCTCTAGTGAGTTGGATGAGTGTGAGTCAGTCTTCTGGGGTCCAGTCACCTCTTGACTCAGTGACGAATTTGATTCTCTCAGTCTGCACATCAGAGAATGAGATCAGGGAACACCATGATCCCATCGAGGCAATGCCACCCATCTGTGCCAAGTGGATCTTCCCAGACAACACTCACCTTTTTTTTTTTTTCATAGTTATTCAAACTGCAGTGAAAGTTCTTAAAGACTCATGGCTGGACAGTTTATTCACAGTGGGTACCTGACGACAGGCTCCATATTTTAAATTAGGGTTTTCTTTCAAAAACTGACATTGGTACTCTCCACGGCATCAGAAATGGTAGGACATGCACCCCACCCAAACAGTGATGTTGACTTTCCCACATATCTCCTGTTTCTTTTTTTCTTTCTTTCCTTTTTTTAAAAATAAGCATTCCACATCCGTGTTTATTCATTTCCATTCACAAAATCAACTCTTTGATTTACGCCCCAGAGATATTTTGCATAACAGCTGGATCTTCTCCCTGTAAGCCTTTCAAAGGCAACTTGTCTTTAGAGGAACACTTCTGGAGCTGTGTAAAAGACATTCCAATCCATGTAAACCCACCATGAATCAGTCCCACCTCTGCCATGAAATCCCTAAATCTGTGGCTGTACACGCAAACACACTCCCATTTGCAATCAGTTTGCATTAGTTTTGTGTTTTTTTGTGAGCTTGTTCAGTGGCTTCCACTGACGTGTTCACTTATTAATAATAGGGAACTCTTACTGAGTGCTTCCTACATGGAAGACACCGTTCTAAGTGCTTTATTGAATTATTTCATTTAGTCCGCATAACAACCCCACGACGTTGTGTTGACCCCAGAGTTCACACAGCTAGGTGGAGGAGTCGCTCACACACACTTTTCCTGCTGCCTCTGTGCTCTGTCATCATTCCTAGAAACTTTGTATTTCCTCAGAGCACTTCCTGTGGTGTTTGGCACCCAGGGCCCTCAGCGTGTTCTGCTTGCCTAATACATGTGTACGTAGGAACTCCCCAGGAATGTCCCATCCAGGTCACTCCAACATGGCCTCCTTGTGACGTGAACAGGGTGCAGCCACTGAAACATTTCTAGAGAAATACAGTGTCAACACACCCACGAGGAGAGCAGTGCAAAGTCGCCGAACTCCTCTGAAATGACACTGCAGAGAAAACCCTGTGGTCTTCCCCAACTCTACCTTCTGTTTTAAACATTTATTAGAAAAGTCTGCTGATAAGGCAGGGAAGTGACTATTAGGTTTTTAAATGATGGTTTGCTTTTTAGAGCTCTGTTAAATGTTGATAGCACTTAAGAAGCTACCTTATTTTCAAAAGAAGACAACCAAGGCTCATCTGGAGCTCGGATTAGAGATTAAATATGGCCAGCGCATCACTGGCGATCCTTTCAGGCCATAAGGGAGGCTCCGGAGTGACGTGTTCTGGGCTTCCCTTCCACTCCTGCAGCATTTATTGAACATATATCTTCAAAGATGGACTCAAAAGCTCTTTTGATGCTTTTATTGACAATTTGAGTACAATCTTAGGCCTAGCTGCCAAGCATTTCTTTACACATTTCAGGGAAAAAATAAAGATTCTTCTGCAAAGACTATTTTTATCCTTTGGACGTGTTCACATGTTGATAACACCATTCATGCTGAAGCAGGTTAATTGCTAGTGGTTAGTGATTCACATTCATTTATAGTGGCTGTTTTAAGAATCAGTGTTCTATTCTGGAAAAAAAAAAAAGACGACCACCAGGAAAGGAGCAGAGACCTGGGGACTGCGATGGGGCCTGAATGCATGGGAGCCAAATTTTCGGCCACTGCACAGACGCAGATCTGAGGGAGGTAATGGCCCCCTTCATTAAACCCTGAAACATGGAGGGTATGAAATGCTGGGAGCTCCACGTGATGGAGAGAGCCATCTGGTTTGTCATGTCAGGTCAGTGCAAGGAGCTGCCGCTTACTGGGATTGTCAGGAACGTAAGTCAGGCCCTGAGTGGTTCCAGGCTGAGCGCTGACGCCGGCCATTGGGACGTGTAGGCTCACACTGTGACTTTCCTTTTTCTCACACGCACAGACATTGGCTTTCTGTTTTCTCTGCACAATCGGTAGGCTTCCTGACAGGAGGCTGGCAGCCTGGGGGTGACGCTGGATAGACCGAAGCCACATGAGGCTGATGTGGCTGCCACTCTGCGTCGTGTCCCAGGTGCAGCACCTCTGTGGGGAGAGCGAGAGCAGGAAGGACTGTCCCTGGATGGGGAGTCAGGGAAGGAGGGGCAGGCGACCTTGGGAAATTTTCTGAGGTCATCCTCTCCTTCTCCTCAGCAAGGCTTTCTGGCGGCACGTCTACAACGAGGCGCCTGCTACTGGTTTCATAATTCCCAGGATCCCTAAATCCAAAAGGGACCCATGTGCTAGTGAACTCATTATGCCCTAGTTATGGCCACTATTTTCCTGAGAAGGCAGACAGAGAGAACCAAAGACAGTGGTTATACTTCTTCAGCTGCATTCTGTGCAGCAGAAAATGAGGTTTGCTGCATTTAGTGCACACACACCTTTTGACTGTATTGTAAATGCCTCAAAAAAAAAAGAAAGATGAAAACATGATCAACAATCCTATTCAATCCATGTTAACATGAGGAAATATTCTGGTGTGATTGTGCCGTCCCAGGGAAAAGAAAACTCTTTGGAGTGACCCCCTAGGTTTGCAGATTAGGGGAACAGTGTGGGTGTGCAGGAAGAATACAAACCCCTCTGACAGAGTCAGGCACAGCTTCGTTTGCATCCTCCTAGAAACGCTCCTTCTTGGAAGATTCTGTTTTAATACCCTGTACTCCTGAGAATCATTGAGAATCATTATGAAATCAGTTCTGAAAATGTTCCCTTCAAGGTGCCTTATGCAGTAAGTGTACAGTGAAGCCACATGTATTTCTAAAGTTGCAAATAACGAAGCAGAATGAAAGTGCATTATGTTTTGATTCCTCCTGTGCACTTTAAACATTCAACATTCGAATTAACTTTCATAATTTCTCACTTAGTTGACAAGCTGATTTATGCACAGTTGCTATTTCATCAATGCAGTATATAAAGGCAGGATTCTTGGGCTAAACACTTAGTTTTGACTATTGCTGGTGGTTCTTTGGGAATCGATGCTCTCTGAAATCGTAAATAACAGCACTGCCCTGAAAGCCGTGAATGGAGATCTGAGTCAGTCTCACAGAAAACCACTGACTAGTCCCTCGAAACTACTGCCCACGGCACCAATGGCTTCTTCCCAATCATTGCCGAAGGTACAATGCAGGAAATTAAACCTGGGAAATCTCTCTGTGTTACTTCCCCGGCCTGCCTTGAATTCACTCCCGAATGACACCCCCTCAGAGGACCCAGGTGCGTTGCCTCTGCACTCTGCTGTCTGCCGATCGCTGAGGCCTGAGACTCCTTTTTCTGTTCTCACTCTCAGCTCTGTTGTTTCCCACGGGTGGCATGAATCCCACCAGGGATCCCAGGAGCTTCTTCTGTGATTTTGGCAAGAGCTAGGGGGGGTGGGGGAGGGGTGGTGGGGTGTGTTTGTGTGTGTGTGTGTGTGTGTGTGTGTGTGTGTGTGTGTGTGTTTGCAGAAAGGAAAAAGAGCAGACGGCGGTAGGACGCTGTACGTTTCCAGGCACGAGGGGGGAGAACGCAGCGTCGCAGCCCCTCCGGCTACACGTCGAACCAGTGGTCCCCCATGCAGGCGCGGCTCCACTCATAGCCGCAGTGCCAGCACCACTCGAGCTGGCACTGGGGCTGCGGGCACTTCATGTGCATGCATCCTCCTGTGGACAAAGGACAGAGGCAAAAGGCTGGCAAACACGCGCCCCGCAGCAGCACGCTGCCCTAGAAACGACGGTCCAAGGGCAGCATCTGCACGGAGAGAAACAGACCAGGTAGCGCATCGGGAAGTTTTAAAGCAAAGGCATTCACGAAGAAAGGCCCCTCTCATCGAGGGCACGTCTTATGTGTAAATCGGAGCTTATTTGCTTCCCCTGAAGTAGGATTTAGAGACAACTGCTTTGTGTGGCGCCCACAGGGTCAACGCCTCACTTAAATGTATATTTAATATTTTAAATATACATGAATATACTTAATAATTTAATATATAACATATAACAATGTAAATCTAGAATGTGAGTCCTTTTTATCATTTCTTTAGTGTTACTTGGCAAAATTCATAAAACAGGAGTTGGGACTGCAATAGTAAAACTATTTAATAGGGAACACATTCCTTAACGGTATGCACAATGTAACTTATGATGCGGACAGACAGAAACAAATGAATAATGCCAGGTGCTCTGCATGCATTATCTCATTTACTCCTCAGAAACACCTTGCAAGATAAGGGCATTCTTTGGTTGTAGAATTTTCTCAAGGTCAAGGACTTTCAAGTGGCGGAGCCTGAGATTTAAGCAAGATCTCTGTGGTTCCGATGTCCCTTTTGTCACAGAGCAGGGCCTTTGAGCATGTGATGAAGAGTCCTTTATTTGGGGACTTATTTTGGGGTTCCTCACCTCCTCCCAGTTCTTAAATACATTCCTTGTCTGCTTCTGGGGCTCAGGCACCATGAAGAGATGAGGAAGCTATTTGTATGCAGTTAAAGGACTGTTTCTGACCGAATTTCCCAGGTACTCCAGGCAAAAGCAGGTTCTCTGCTTGAATACTACATAACATTGAATGTACTCCATCTTTCACTTTTATCAATTATCTTGTTAAGTCATTTTTTTTGTTGGCCAAATTTTCCATGTAATTGCTTCAGTACTGCCCCATTTTTATTATTAGAAACCTGGCATGAGAACGTCCAATTTAAAATATTTATGAATAAGTAACTAAAGGTATTGGTTTTAGGATAACTTAAGGGCATTTAAAATCGCATACCTTTCTACTTCTCTTTGGTTTGTTTCAAAGATCATGGAAAATTTACAAATATGTGGACAATAAAGGGAAAAACTCACTTATGATGCTTTGATCTTAATACTGCTCATTTAGGATTACACAGTTACAATTACACAATTGAAAATGTGTAATTTTCAACACATTTAATGATCGTGTACTTCTGATGTAAATAATACAATAAAAATGTAACACTACAATCACTTAAGTTTCTCTGCAATTTATCATAAAAAATTCTTAAGCAATGCATTCAAAGTCAATGAAATATTAAAGTGATGCTGAATGAATGGTTCAGAATCTTAATGGGTATGGACGACTGGCATCACAAGTAAGATTTTATCACAGAAACTAGAATCACGATGGTACAGTAGAAGAAGAAGAAGAAAGGAAACAGGGAGAGGATATTCACGCCACTTTCTTCCCCGCCTGGGGCTCAACTTACACAAGGCAATATGCTAGAGCCCATAAGATGGAGACGCATCAGGGACTCTAATCCTAAAAGCTTTGCCAGCTGAAAAGCCAATGTGAGCAAGAAGCTGCCGACAGCTTCACACTCAGTGGTGGATAGTTCAGTAAAAAAAGATGGCTTCCCTCTTAGAAGATTCCGTCTACTGACTAACGCTCACACCATGAGAAGCCCAGCCTGGGCCCAGTCACCACTACGGCCTGGGCAGCCACTCTTCATCATATTTAATGAGAGTCGAAGTTCCTGAACAACCTGAAGGCACATTCAACTGGCAGCAGACACGTACTGATCAGAGAGTGGAACCAGAATCTCATCTGTTTGAGGTCGAATGGAAGCACGTGGGGCTGGGGCAGGCTTCCCCCACATACCCCGCAATGGCATAGTAATAATTCCGAATTACAATCACTCAACAAGCAGCAGGAGGGGGAGGAGATCTCTGAGGCTCCTCTGCCCCCCTAAATGCAGGAAATAAATCTCTATGATAGGGGCCCTCCATCCCGCTCCTGACGACTGGGAGGCAGCCTGTCGCAAGAGTTAAAAGATCCAGAGTTGAGAAAGCGTGGACAAGCAAACCCTGTAGCCTTTGTGATTTAGTACCTAAGCCCAGAACTTGCCTGGATTCCTTTCTGATGAACCCTGTCTCTGTCCTGTCAATGTGTCACGAATTTATCACTTCTTTGTCTGAGACATACAAACAGTGCCTACTTCGGTCATTTTATGATCTGAGCATTATACTGTGACTTTCCCACGTGCATACTTTAGACTGGGTTTCCTCCTGTTAACCTAGTATCGTGTCAATTTCGTTGTTTGAATATTAGCCCAACCGTGAGAAGTAAAGAAGGGTAGAGGAGGTAGATTGTCTCCTGCCTCAACAGCAGGAAGAAACTTGCAAAAATTGTAGGGGGTTGTGGGAGGAAGTGCCAAGCTCGTGCTTAAAATGGAAATAATCTTTATATCGCTGCAGCTGTGCTGAAGGAGCAGCTGTTTCTCCGGGATTGGGCTGAATACGAAGTGGGCTATGAACTCAGGTTGAGAACTAGACAACAAAACTAGCTCTTCCTGCTTAATAGAACCTACATTTGTTGTACGATATACTTTCAAACCGTTTAGGTTATCATTACACGCTTTAAGTCTCAGCTTTTCAGTTCAGAGGTTAAACATCTATAGGTGGGAAATTAGCACTTTCCATTTGGAGCACATCACAGTATTTCAAAGAAATAATCAGAGTAGGACACTTTTCTACAGCCATGAATCACGTGACTCTTCAATCCCGCCTTCCAGGGCTGCCAGTGTGGTGGGCCCAGAGGCAGTTCTGAACACATCATCTTCCTGTTTCATAGCCTGGGATGGCACTGTGTCCCCCAGAGTCAAGTCCCGGCCCCTCATGTCACTCGGGGCCCCACACTCTCCGTCCCACCCACCACGAAGTGTCTGCTCCTGCCAGGCCTCGTCTAGGGCTCCAAACAGCTGGCCTTCCGCACACACCTGCGTCTTCACTTCCTGCCTTTGAATATGGCCTCTGCCCAGAGGCCCCCTCTGGCTTCCTCCCCAGGCTGACTTCCCCCAGCTCTCTGAATCTCAGCTCAGGCACTGACTCCTCCAGGAAGCGTCTCTCAATCCCCAGGTCCTTGGGCTTTACTAGCTTGCTTTCTCTGCCATATTTTATCAAAATATTTATTTATGTGTCTATCTCCTTTACTAGCTACCTTTTTTTTTTTCATTATTAGTTTCAGGTATACAAAACAATGTAGTAGTTAGCCTTTTTAATTCAGCAAATATTTGCCAGGCCCTCTTCTGGGCCCGGGGCATAGACACAAGTTTCCTGACCTCTGATGACAGCACAACGGTCTCTTACGATTCCATTTGCATTCTTTAAACAGCTGTGGAACAGAACACTGGCCCGTGTTGACCAACGCTGCACTCCCTCTCTTCTGAGGGGCCTTTGCCTGTTGTCACTTCCTGTTGCCCATGTAGCACGGCTCAGTCCGTGAGGCCAGAAAGATCCTTCCTCCGACTCGCTGATGTCTTCTCTATGGAGGCGCATGTGACCCCACGGCCTTTGTAGGAGCATCCCAGCACGCAAAGGGGTAACGATAACTCAGGGCTCAATTCTTTTCTGGGAGGCAGGGACAACTGATGCAGAGCTGAGGAACCTGGCCCGTGCCTGAGGCTCTGGGATGCATGGGCACCCTCATCGGCATTAAGGAAGATTTCCTAGCAGACATCGCTGAGGAAGGAGAGACTGGAGTACCCACATGCGACTGCCAGCTTCACTGACACAAGCCAGCTCTTAGCAGCCTGCAGAGCAGGGTGCCCTTACGACTCAGTGAGGAGAGGAAAGCTGCTGCACAGGGTGCCTCGCTTTCTTTCCCATCTGTGACCATCCTGTCGCCTCTGTCTTACACACACGCGCACGCACGCACACACACACACACATGCACGCGTATTTCACATTAAGAAAGGACCCTGGGCACTGGGCTGCATGATGGCTCTCAGCTGGTGGCACGTCCAGGGTGGTGGCAGCAGGTGCCCCACCGGTTGCTGGGAGGTACGAGGGTCACTGTGAAAGGGGCTGCCCAAAGGACACGCTGAATATAGACTAGAGTGTGACTTCAGGTCATGCCGCAGAGCCGGGGAGGGCCACACAGCGCCGGCCGATGGACAACAGGGCCACAGAGTGCAGCCAACAGAGCAGGACGAGGGTCAGCGGGGTGAAGGGAAAACCACAGATTTCTGTACAAAAGGGACACTGAAGTGCTTGAATCTGCTAACGAACATTGTGAATGGGGCAGTTGTAGCTTCTCAGTGGGATTTCTGCACGGGTAAAGCCACCTGACACGTGTCGAGAGCTTAGAACAAGCGTACAGGAAGTGCTCAATGCCCGTTAGTTGTTTCTTTTCTTTCTTTTTTTTGCTATTATCCAAGAAGTGGATTTATTATAGCAGGACCACTTGCCAAATTTCTTGGACATGGCAGCATCCCCTTCCCCCCACTGAGTCTCTCCAGACACCAGGAGTACACTTCGGGAAATATTGGCCTTGGCAGTGTCCCCAGCATCCTTTTTTTCTTGGTTAGAGTAGTGGACAACGTATCAGATGCAACGTGTCTAATATTATTAATAATAAGTAATAACAAGGGCAATTCAACAGATGAGGGCTTGCACTTAGGAGGTTCAGAAAGCTGACGTGGGAGAGCTGAGACTCAAAGTCTGACCACATGGCTCCAAAGCCCCGAGCAGAGCTGCCCAGTTATAAAACCCTCCGAGAGGGCCTGGCCGTTACAGGCCCGCAGCTAACGCGCTCAGAGAAGAGCTCATCAAACCCCCACTTTTCACGCTGCCCAGACTCACCATTTTTCTCAACGGGCACGTGGCAACGAGGACAAGGCTTGGTGGTTTTCTTGATTGTTTCTTTGGTAGATTCTTCCCAGCGAGCCCGCTCTGCTGCCTTCTCGTCCACTCTGTAGGCCTGGAAAAACAGCAACGCAGGAGTTGAAATTCCGATTGCTGTGCTGGGATTGAAACACCAGTACAGGAAATTCTTAGAGATGGAGGTGCCCTCAGGCAAGAAGCTCCAACGTAAACTCACTTGACAAGTGGTGGATGGGGCCGGACAGGCACAGAACGTGGTTTTCTTGGCACGTGGTCTGCGCTTACAAGCTAAGAAAAGATTGCTCAGTTTTACAGTTCGAGGTCCCCTCTTTTGTTGTTTTGAATAATTGTAATACACAATACCAACAGGGTGCTTAATATGCAGGCCAGGTGACAAATGCTCTTACGTGCTTGTACAGGCTTCCTTGGGTGAGTATACTCATGTTTTTTGTCTTTTTTTTTCCCCATTGAGGATTAGATGAGTTAAACAATTGCACAAAGCTTGTAAGTAGGAGAGTCTGTGTGACACCAAAATCTTTGCTTTTAAACTTTCTTCTACATCTTGTTATCCTTCATTCTTGTACCTGGAAAATGGGAGACTCCAAATGTTGTCACAGGGACAGGAGCAGGAACAAGGAAAGAAGTGGGTGTGACAGAGAAGGTGGCAATGGGACTGGGAATAGCCGGAGGTTAAGACTGTGGGCTCTGGAGCCAGCTGCCTGGGTTCAGGTCACAGCCCCTCCCCTCCTCCTGACCCCCCTAGGTGGGCGGCTGTGGAACATTTCTTAAGCTCTTGGAAAGTTCTCATCCCATAGATGGAAATAAAAAATGCCTAGTGCCTTGGGGGTGTCAAGGATGAAGTGGTTTAATTTTTTAAAAGACGGAATGAGTATCTGACACATGCTGCTAAGTGATGATATGAAATACCCCAGGATCTATAACATGGTGAGCTCTCAAGAAGGTTTGCTAATAAATTCATGTCAGAGAGCTAAATCACCCCTGGCTCCTCCCCTGAAAAGGAGGAGGGTTTCAGAGCAGCCTCTGCAGGCAGTCATTCTGCACCCGTCCAAGTGTTCAGGCACGGCCGTCTCCCCACTTGCTTCGGCACTGAGTGACAGGTGCAGAAAAAGAAGTGGTACGTTTTGGGATTCAATACAAAAACCTTGTGGTCTAGAAATATATTTCAAAATGTTAATCCAAACAGAACCCCTCTGTCTTGGCCTCTATAGTATTTACAATTTTTCTTTTATGCTTTAAAATTACTATGAGCACACAAATCATTTTATTAACTTGCAATGACTCTTTTAAAACATTCCCAGAGACATTTTTAGGTTCAGAAACTGCTGAAAATAACATATAACTTAGTGAAGGAATTGAATACCATGAAATGCTCTAATATTCTGCTATGACTCTAATAACAATGCTGATAATACTTTACAAATTTATAACACCTTATTTTTTACACTTCGATTTCCATTATTTCAGTTGCTCCTCACAATAAACCTCGAGAAAGCAGTGGGGGCAGACGTCACACTTATTTGGCAAATGAGGCCTCTGAGTAGTAAGAAGACCCCAGGCCAGGTTCAAGGATGCTCACTCCACAGACAGCAGCATCAGTGCCAGTCAAATACGACACCTGGAAAGCCTGAAGGATGGAAGCCCAGCCCAGGGAAGCTCTCACCGGGGTTCTAGCCCCCAGCACTGAGCTGTGACCACGGCCTCTGAGCAGGTTTTCTGCACGGTGAGAGCGAAGGCTCTACTGGGAGGCCACCCACCCCAGGAGGCAGTCCTCCTCTGGTGGCCAGTGCAGTGAGGTACCCAGAGGCGCCGTGGCACCTGCTCTGCGGAATCCCTCACCTCAGAGATGAATCCAACTTGTATCATTTCATCTTTAGGTTCTACATATTTTTGAAATGTTCAAGGGTTTCAGTCTTTAAGAAAGAAGTATTATGAGGTAAATAACTGTGTTTATACTTAAGCTGCATCGTTTAGTGGTTTTTTTAAAATAGTGATTAGTATTTGTGTTTCTGGTATTTCCAGTAGAAAGGGAATTCATCCAGGGCCAAGGTCATGTCTGTGTCCTCCATGCGTCTCCAGGCTCTGGCAGAGAGCCTGGTGCTTAGAGGCCCCCAGTACATTTTAGCTGAGTGAATGAGTGAGTGGCACACACACAACGGCTCTGATTGGACAATCAGCTGGAAGAGGACCCGTGAACCAGCGGGGGCAGGTGAGCTGCATCCCTAACGGCAGTCATTGGGGTGAAACAGGTTTCTTTCTGTTAATTAGCCATCCCATTCACCAAGGAAGTTTCCTTTATAACTCAGAGGGTATCATGTGATTTTTGAATACTTTGTTAGATAAAACAGAGTCAGTTTAAGGGCTAAGAAGCAACCACAAGTCACTGACAACTTTGGCTCGGGGACAACGTAAGGAGTGCTCGTGGCTGAGAGCCCAGCAGCAGAGCTGCGGTTAATGAGAACCACTGTAAGATTTAGTAAGTGGGTTTCTAGCTTCAGCATATTGTCTTTCAATCAGCTCCGATTCACGTGTGGCCTTAACCCTCAGCGACACATAGCAAATACTTCCTCCAACCACATGTTCCAAGCTTTTCTTTTTAAGGTCCAGGGGCTTGTAACCTTGTAGCAATGGTCTGAAATTGCTTACTTGGGCAATTAGGTCAGAGAAATATATAATTTTACTTGTTAAAAGTTAATTTCCAAATGTGCTTCTCAGCCATACAGCACACTGTGTGCTAAGTGCAATTTCTCCCAGGTCTATACACCTGAAAAGGCTGGGTGGGTGCAGGCATCCATCGGGGTCATTACTTCACCTCCCACGCCAGCCTCTGATCTACAGAAGGGTTCCTAGCTTTCCTTTTTTGGGCCATGGGCTGCATTGGCGGTCTCTGGACGTCCTCTTGGAGTGTTTTAAAAAGCAAACTATAACATTCAAAGGATGCCAACTACCTTGAAATACAGTTATTAAAACACGATGGGAGAGACTGGATGGAAGGGGGTACTGGGGCAGGCGCTTTCTCAAATGATGCATAGAATTTGAGGAAATAAAGAGAGGTAAAAGGACCACTTTAGACAGACAGAATGGCAGGACCACATGGCAGGCACATGACGAATGTTAAAGCAACATTCACAAGTGAAGAAGGCAGGACGGCAGGTGCGCGTTCACGAGTGGTTCCACGCATTGTGAAACTGGCAAGAGGGCCAGAGAAGGCTGCAGTGTTAGAGGTTACAGGTGAAGAACCAAAAGGAAAAAAATAAGTTGCAGGCAGATTGCAAAGGGTCTTACACTGCAGGCTGTTTTTATTATAAGAGGTGCCATTTATTGAGGACCTACTATGTGCCAGGTGCTTTATATCTGTCACCTTTAATCCTCATAATAACCCCAAGCATACACTATGTAATATGCTCTCCGTATTCTGCAGATGAGGAAAAGAGGCGAGGCTTGGAGCGGTTATATTCCTGCCCCTCCCCACCAAGGTCATGTAGCTGGTGATGCAGACAGCAGTCTGTTTGGTGCCTAAGCCTCCACGTTCCCGCCTCAGTGTGGTCACCTGGGAGCCAGTGCAGAACCAGTGGCAGAATGGGGAGCACTCCAGGTCTGAAGCACGAAGTAGCTGGGGGCAGGCGTGACTCATCAAAGCCTGGGCGGGGAGGCCCTGCAGCAGAGTGGGGACACTGGACAAGCTAAGGGGTGATGCGTGGAAAGAAGAGGTGACGTGGGGTGTGCCCAGTCACTGGCTGAACAGCCCGATGGACACAGGGGGGCAGTCAGAGGTGCAGGAATGAGCCCTGGGGAGGGGGGTGGGGTTGCGAGACCCCAGTGCCCACTGTGCGGTGAAGCGGCAGAGGTGCTGGCTGGAGCAACAAGATCAGCAAGGACAGAGCCTCGTGGAGGTGCCAACCTTTAAACCTCAGCAGCAGCATGAGAAAGCCTGGGGCGTGAGAAACTCCGCAAAGCCTAAGAAAGAAGGCACAGCGGAGACTGCGTGACATGTTTTGGCGCCACGCGGGAGGAGCTTCTGGTAAGGCTGCCAGACAGTCATCCAGCTCTCTCCCGAGGGGCGGAGCTCTGCCAGCCGCCTACAACCGATCACAGGTGTTTTACAGCCTCGCGTGAATGCTCTTTTTAGTGGCAGAGAATACATGCCTGAAGGGTACGGCCTGACTGCCCCACAGGGCACGAGCCAGCCCTTAGAACGTAGAAACCATATTTCAGCGTTCTTTCCCAGTAAATGATGCAGCATCCTGTCCCCCCAAATGCTCACGGAGCCAGCTCTCCCTTCGCTCGTTTCCTCACGGATTTGATGAATAAGACCTCGGGGCGGGCTAACACAACACTGTCTAGGAATCCTGCTGTGGCCCCTGCCAGGCTGTGCTGGCAGCCTGCGGTGAGCAGTGCAGCCGGAGGCGACCCCGGGCGAGAGCGGAAGGGCTTGGAGAACAGACGGCCATGCATGAGGAGGCGCTCTCTGTGTCAGGGACCTGGGTGATTTCTTCAGTAACTGGGGCCTCCCGGAAAGGCAGTTCTTGTTATCACCTACGTTGGTGGAAGAGACCCCAGCGATGGGCGGCTGCAGAGCGAGGCCAAGGTCACACGGGCTGTGAGCAGCTGCGTCAGAATTTAGACCCTGAGCTGATTTCAGAGCCCAAGCTATTGCTGCTACGATTTGTTTGTTTCACTAGGAAGTGACATGCTACAAAGCGGACAGGAGGGTCGAGGGCCTGGCGGCGGCAGGGAGCCGTTCTGCACCAGCTCGCAGCCAAGGGGCAGCGGAGAGACACCTGCGCTTCCTCTGCCAGCGCCACGAGCCCTCGCTGTCAGCGTCCCGCGCGGCAGCCCGCCGCCTGCCCTCCAGCTCTCCTCGTCTGCTCTTCTGCTACTTGCCGCCACAGCTACCTAGCTGGCTGTCGCTTCCTTCCACCTGCCCTGCGGAAACTGTCCTCACACAGGACATGAGGGAGGCCCCCGTCGCCAAAGCCAGAGTCTTTTCTTTGTCCTTTCCATTTCGGATGGGCTCCTTGCCCCCAACACTTGTGGCCTTCCTTCCTCCTTGGCAGAACGGGGCCACCAAGAGCAACG